GATCTATGCGTGGGTAACACGCATACCCGAGAGCTGGGTTTGAACTCATCAGCACCTAATTGGACGGGGAACACCTCCTTAAAATTTCAGCCTTCTAGCTTTTCAGGTTCCCGAGTTAACAACTCATCCGGAAAAAACTTTGGCGGACCCGTACATGGGTACCACGCATACCCAGGAGCTGGGTTTCAGCTCACTGAGACTTAAGTAGACGAAAACATCCCCTTAAAATTTCAGCTTTCTAGCTTTTTTGGTTCGCCAGTTAGCGGCTTACCTGCAAAAAACTTTCACGGGCCCGTACGTGGGTACCACGCGGGTAAGACCGCCCATTTTGGAGATGGGGCCCACACATGCATGTAGATTAAGCTCCCAAAGTTTCAGCCCTGTAGCTTTTGTAGGTCTCGAGATGAAAAATCGGTACAGAGGCCCTGCGCACACAAAGACACATACACAAATAACCTCTCGTCAATATGCGTTTTCCGTATTGCGTAGCTGCAGAAAACGCATATTAACGAGGAGTTGTCTGTGTGTCCGTGTGTGCGTCTGCACCGATTTTTCATCTCAAGATCTATAAAAGTTACATTTTTGGCTGAAACTTTGCGAACTTGGTCTACATGCACGTGCGAGCCCAGTCCCCGAAGTGGGCTTCCTTACCTGCGTGGTACTCACGTACGAGCCCGCCAAAATTTTTTTACAGGTAAGCTGCTAACTCGGGAACCAGAAATGCTGAAAGGCTGAAATTTTAAGGGAACGATCCCCGTCCAAGCAGGTATTAATGAGCTCAAACCCAGCCCTTGGGTATGAGTGGTACCCACGCACGGGCCGCCGAGATTTTTTTCGGGTAAGTCGCTAACTCGAGAATTTGAAAAGCTAGAAGACTGTAATTTTGAGGGAACACTTCCTGTTCACGTAAGTCTTAATCAGCTCAAACCCAAGCACAGGGTATGCGTAGTACCCACGTACGGCCTCGCCAAATTTTTTTCGGGTAAGTTGCTAATTCGGGAACCTGAGAAGCTAGAGGACTGGAATTTTTAAGGGGATGCTTCCCATCCAAGTGGGTATTAATGAGCTTAAACCCAGTTCCCGAGCATGCATGGTACCCACGTACGAGCCCGTGAAAGTTTGTTTCGGCTAAGCTGATAACTCGGAAACTTGAGAAGCTAGAAGACTGGAATTTTGAAGGAATGTTTCGTGACAGTCCTGGCGGCCAGTCTGAAATTCTTTTAGCTAGAAGCATCTGCCGGAAAAAACTAGAAGCATGTGCCTATTCATAGGCTCAGTTTGTTTTAATTTACTTGTCGGGTTTGCTTAGGTTTGCTTTAACTTAACTCTGAAATGAGCAGGCCGTGGATTCGAAACGTGGTACGTAGTCAAGGTATGAGTCATAAAACCGTCACAGTGCAGTACAACGGTTGTCCTTAGAAAAAAAAAAAATGGATTAGAGAAGCAAAAAACAAATTTCCATGCCATACCTTGTTGGTCTTGGTTATGAAACTCAGGCGGCGTGAAGTTTCGTGAATCAAAATATGGAATCCTGGCTTGCCATTCAGCCTCGCTCTTATATAAAGCAAAATTTCGAACGACACATGCTGTTACTCAAAAACCGCTGATTTCAGAAAACATTCCGTTAATGTGAACTTCAAAATTACCGTATGGCTGATACTGAAAATCGGATACTTTGATTGCAGCGTTTGAATGCTGCGTAAGAATGCGATTTCTTAAATGTCTAAATAAAAGCACGCTTTAAATGGCCAATCTTCAACACTTAACATGTTTTGCTGTATTCCACTAGCAGTAATAGCATCGATTCCCTACACTGATTGTTTGGACAGCCATTGTAATCTTGTTAGTTGATTAACCCTTTAGGGTCATAGAAAACAGGAAAAAATAAATTCGTGTAGCAGTTATTCACAAAGAAACGCGAAGGAAGAGTTTTTGTTCACTTCACAGTCAAATTAGGTGAGCCCTTATGAGAGTTTGAATGGGAAAAGCACTTCAACCTAACTCTTGAACCGTTAAGTGATAAGATATGTTTGATGGCGATTAATTGGGCAAAAGAGCAATTCGGTCACTAAAACACTTGCAAAACATGCTGCAAAGATAGGACTGCGCGAAAAGCGCATTCATTTTCCATAGCCTATTTTGGAATAGCCGATAGGAGTGATGCAGTGGGACGCAGCACTGTTGTCGGGCAGTAGTAGGTCGAGTACTGAATTCTCCTGGTGGCACAACCGATTGGCCTCTACGACTCGTTCATGCGTTCCGATGGTAAATTGATACTAGCATGTGCCAGGAGTCAACCTGGTTACGAGCTTGCCTGCAAGCAACCCAAGAAAGAGAAGACCATAGACAGCCTTGCTGGCGG